CCCAAGTGGCTGGGACTACAGGCAACTGCCACAATGCCCAGCTATTTTTTGTTGCAGTTGTCATTGTCGTTTAGCTGGCCCAGGCCAGTTTTGAACTGGTCAGCCTTGGTGTATGTGGCTAGCACCCTGTCCACTGAGCTACAGGAGCCAAGCCAGTGCTCAGGCTTTCTTCATAGTTACTAAGTCTGATGGCAGGTCTGTGATACGCACGTACAACTGATTTGGGGAAAGACTGACAAAAATACTGCTGTGCATGCTGACCCATCTCCTTTTATAAGAAATTAAACCAAACTTTGTGGCCGTGTCACCCATATCTTCCCTCTTCTATGGTGACTGCAGTGTTGCCACAGAGCCTGTAAGTGTGTGACAAACATTAATTGATTGATTTTAGCGGCTTTTGTTTCATTGGCTAGGAAGTTAGAATGCACAAAACAATGATTAATGTATGGAGGAGATGTATGAAGAAGGCAAGGAGAGGAGGGGAACTGACATTTATTGGGCTCTGGCTCTGTGCCCAGCGAGGTACTAATGGTGTTACTGGAATTAGGATAGAAAGAGTAGCCCTGGCTAGCTCAGGGAGGCTAGCTGGGCATAGCAAACCAGCTAGTGCACGTGAAAGTGCTCGAAAGCAGGGACGTCACTGAACGCGGCATTTCCCGCTGTGTGGCTAGAGCAGCAGGTGGGTCCAAGAGAAGGGGAGTGAGGAGAGTATGTCAGGCCAGAGGAGGGGCAGGCAGTCAAAAGACAAGTGTGGCTGCAGCTGATCCACTCCATGGTGAGCTCTGGAGCATAGGTCACACCAGAGAGTTGTCTCCACTGAGGCTGGGGGGCAAGGGGCATAACCCGTAGGTCAAGCAGCACCCACCTGGAGAAGAGGCCCACTGGTGCCCTGGCTGACTGCTCGGACCTGGGTGGGCTGCCAGCAGCATCTCCAAATGCTGTCAGTCAAGTACAAGTGCAATAGTCATCCAGGTCTGAGAACTCTTTTTTTTTCTTAGCTGGCTGTGTTGCAGGGCTGGGGAAGCAGCAGGGGGCAGGAGCAGGCAGCTGCGGGAGGGTAAGGCAGGTCGCCCCCCTATGGAATCGATACCAGGCAGCCATGGCAGGTGGGGCAGGTTGCTCCCTATGGAATCGATACATGTGCATGGTCTGGCCTGTGTAACTCCCTCATTTTACAGACACTCATTTTTATCTTCACAACATCAATTTGAGGGAGGTCTAAATAGTTCCACGTTACAGGTGAGGAAACTGAGGCTCAGAAATTAAGCAACTTGCTTCTCCCAAGGTCATGAAGCTAGGAAGTGGCAGGCCCGTGATTCACAATTTGAGCCTGAGGCCTCCCCATCATGCCACCCCGATCCTCAGACACCTCAGGGGGTTAAGCAGAGGAAGGGGAAGGATGCAGTTAAAGGGTACAGAGGTCACTGGGGCAGCCCATGGCAAGGAGACTGTTGTGAGGGTCCCAGTGTGAGAAGAGGGGCAGTGGCTGTACTGAGGGGTGGAAGGGGCCAGACTGAGCTGCCAATGAAGGGGCAGGTGATGCCTCCATGGAGCTGAGGGAAGAGTGGGAGAGGATGTCCAGGTCTGGAGCTCGAGTCTGTGGGTAGGGAGAGCTGTCTTTAGTCAGGAGGAGCAGGTTAGCAGGGATCCTCTTTCCTGAAGAAGCAGCCTCATCATTTGTGGTGCTTGAATTTTTCCACTGACCAGAGCCTTTACCTGAATAAGATGAATTTCGCCGACCACCTCCTGGGCAGCGCCATGGAGCGTGGTGATGGGCTGTACAGCAGCAGGTCCAGCTGGGGTGAGTTGTTCCCTTCCAGTGATTTTAAAACCATTGAGCAGGAACACACTGACTTGGCAAGTATGGCAGAGAATTGCTAAAAATTTGCCAGCCTAATCACTCATCTTACCACCATCATGTTCTAGCCGTTTTATTTCTCTGATTTCTCTAAAGTCAGGAATGAGACTCTTGAAGTCCTTCTCGGGGCTTTAGGGGTTCTTTTTTTGGGAGGCAAGGTGTACTTTTGGGCCTGTTCTTTCCTTCCCGTCCATCCTCTGGTTCCTGGACAGGGGGGTGGCGCCAGGAGTCCTGCTGCCAGTTTAAGCACACGGGAATTTCTGTAAAGCTATTGTGTCCTGAGTCTTAAGGGGCCTGGCAGAAGTGGCTCTTTACGTGCAGGCAGTGGGGAGGGACATCATCTTAGTCCTCAGCTCTTGTCATTTCAGTGAGTGACTACAGCCAGCATGCCTCAGAACCCACTGAGAAGATCATGAGGACAAAGAATTTCAAGACCAAAAACTTTCCAGAAAAGGAGCAGCTCATAGTAAGTGTCCTCCTTGTCCTTGTGGCTGTTTTCTTCAGCTGGTCATTTTCATGTTTTATTTTGACATTTTTTAAATGGAAAAAATAATTTCCTGTTTTCTTTTCCTTTTTAATAATAGCATATTTTTATTTTGTGGAGGCAAAATTCTTTAAAATATCTCAAGATTATGGATTAGAATTATTTTAAAGTTCTCATTAGTTTCCCAAATCATCTGTGTCTCCTCTTGTTCAGTTCTGCCTGCCTGTATTTCTCTTCATTGTTCTTGAGTTGCCTCAGATACGTGCTGATCCTTAATAATTATCTGGTCATTTGACAGGTGTGCTAGTTGGATTAGCACAGGTGCCCAGCACGGGGCCAGCACTGGGCATGTGGACCCACAGCCCCTGTGTGGGTGGATGGGCATGGGGTGGGGCAGACGTACCTGGAGAGTGTGTGCAGGGAGCAGCGAGAGCCTTCAGGCCTCCTGCGTTCTTTGCCCTGGAGGTGAGCGTGTTGGTGAGTGCTCCATGGAGGACAGAGTGCTCTTTCCTTCCTTGCCCTCTATATCCTCTCCTGTGTGTTGTGGAGGTTTGGGCTCTTCTCCCTTTTTGGGCCCTGTGCTCCCGTTGGAAAAATCATATACTTTTTGAAAAATGTTTATCAGGGTTTAAACAGAGAGCACAAGCCTCCTGACCTTCCTGCATGGGAGAGAGTGGAAGGTCATCGCAGCTATTCATAGTAGAGGCTTTGGAATCCACGCAAGCTTCTGCTTGTTTGTACCCGGCACCTGACCTCCTGCCTGAGTGCTTTGCGCTTCCGCAGGGCTTTGGGAGAGAACACACACCTCCCTGTCTCTGCTGGGTTTTCTTTGCTTTGATTTCCCTGAGTCAGGTTTCTTTGAGTTTTCTTAAAGTCTCCCAGAATCTTCCTTTCAGAGTTTCTCTCAGGTGTTAAGAGGCTTTTTTGTTTGTTCTTCTTGTTATTTTTTTTTGTAGAGATGAGTCTTGCTGTGCTTCCCAAGCTATACTCCAACTCTTGGCCTCAAAGAGATCCTCCCACCTCTGCCTCCTAAAGGGCTGGGATTGTAAGTGTGAGCCCCTGAGCATGGCCAGAGTCATTTTTCAAAAATATATGCCACAAATAATTCTAGGGGGAGCTTTGGAGAAAGTGGCGGTGGATCCTTGCTGTGTCCCCCGCTTGGCCATTAGTTGGTACTCTTTGACTATGGTGCGGAGAACAGAGGTGACTAGCAGCACATCTCAAGGCCTGGGCCCCAGGCCAGAGCTGGACCTGGGCACAATGTGGGGTGCTTCCCTCCACCCTTGGCTCCACCAGGCTCTCAAGGCATCCCACACCAGCTGCCTGGCTCACACTGTGATTCCTCTGAAGGCAGAGACTCTGCTTTATCTTGTCCCCACCACATGCTTGACATATGATTAAACACCAGTGAATTTGGGAAGAAGTCTTAAAATTGTATTTAACTTTTATTGCTTATTATTTCTGATGCTCTCTACCTTCTCCCAGTTTGAAACATCACTGGCGAGTATAAAAGAAGTATACTGTTCCATAAACTTGACAGGTTACAATTTGGGAGACTCCGTCTTCTTATTCTGTGTGTGAATTTCCTGTTGCTGTATGTCTTTATTTTCTTGTTTGCATTTATGGAACAAGTATTGAAGCTATGACATTTGTTCACTCCTCTAGTGATTACTTCTGAGTATGCATATACCAGGCGCTGTTTAAATAAAATGTGAACAAGACACACAAAGGTCTCAGGTGTCATGAAGCTGACATTCTGGTACATTCTATTACATTTTTTCACAAGTAATGGAATTGATTATAAACAAGTGCTGCCCAAGACCCCTCCTGGGGCTTTAGTAATTAGATACTTTATTCTAAGCTATGCACCAGGGAGATGGGGACAGGGAAGGGGGAAGCAGCACAGGCTGGAGCAGGTATCTGCTAAGACTCAAGGGCCATGACCAGTGTGCTCATCCCCGTCCTTCCCTGGCCAGGGAGCCAGGGTGGGATGGGTGGATGGGTGTTATTCACAAATGGAAGGGGTGGTCCCGTGGCCACCCATAGTTATCCTGGGATGCAGGAGCAGAAGTGGAACGAGAGTACATCTCCTGCCTTCTAGGTGGCTTCCTTCAGCCTTCCAGCTTTTTAAATCTTTTGTGTATCTGTTGCTGACTTTCATGGTTTTTAAGAAATATAAATGGTTAAGTTTTCAGATTTCTGATGATAAATGAGAGCTTTTTCTTTTTTCTAAGTAAGAGGGCAACTTTATTGGCTCACTTAATCCTTAGGTGAGCACACTTTCTAAACTATCATGCTTAAGCTGACCTTGAATGCTTTATAAACTACGCACAGTAAATTTTAGGATTCACCTGATTGTTCTTTCTAGAAATACTCATAATAAAACTAGCTTAGACTTTCTGGGATTTTGTGAGGCTTCTTATTGCATCCCTATCTTAATATAAAACAATGTCTATATGTAGTAACCTTGACCAAAGCAAGGTTTTGGAGACCAGTAAGATCAACAGTAGATTGGAGGTTTGTGCTGGAGGCTGCTAAAGACCACATACACATACTCACATACATGCTTACACACACACTTACATATGCACACCCATATACACACCTTAACACACATACACATGCACACACATCCACACTCAGCACACATGCACACAGGCTTACGTATGCACACTCAGATGCACACCTGAACACAAATACACACTTACACATGCACACACATGCTTACATATGTATACTCAGATACACACCTAAACACACATGCTCACACATGGGCACACATACACATCTGAGTACACTCTCACATGCTCACACGTGCACATGCTCACGTATATACACTTGCACACTCACACATGCACGCACGTATGCAGAGGTTCACACTTGCACATGCTCATACACACTCTTACACCCTCTCATGTGCTCACGCATGCACACACACATGCACATGCTCACACTCACATATCCCATGACTCAGAATTCAACCTTGGAGAGGAAGTGTTTGCCATAAGCGTTGAGCCTGAGACTCAACAGTGAAAGTCTTTGAGACCATGGGAATGACCACATTCTATAATCCTACAGCCTGAGAACAAACTCCTGCTGAAAGAAGTCGGACCTGCTGGGGAAGGAAGAGTCTCTATGATTGAACAGCTGCTGGATGAAGTAAGTGTGACCAAAAGAACAAGTTTCTGGGGAGTTCAGGCTGGCATTCACATCTCTCACTCAGCATGGAAGTTTTTCCAATACTACAGAAATTCTAAGGCCTTGGGATGAGAAACTGTTTGGGAATGGAGTAAATGGCTAAGGTTTACATTAACTTTTACCTGGTACTAATTTTTATAGCATAGAAACCAGGCCGATAAGCACACACAAGTCTAAGGAATACACACAAACTGGGAAAGAATCCCTGGCCATGCCCCCATGCGACCTTTAGCCTGAGTTTCCTCAGAAAGCAAGGTTGTCAGTGCCTCCCTGCTGGGGGTGACTCCAGTTCTGTCCCTTCTAGGTGGCATCTGGAGGTAGCTGAGTCTCCCCTCCTTTGATCTCAGAGCAGTTCCGTCAGCTCCTTAACGGGACTCCGGTTACACTTAGCGGGATGGTGATTAGGGCTGCTGAGCGTAGGATTTGTGGTGAGTTTGTCCTCTTCATGTGCTGCAGGGAGCAGACCCCAACTGCTGCGATGAAGAAGACCGGCCTGTGCTGACCGTGGCTGTTGTGAACAATCACCCTGAAGCGATCCCGGTTCTCGTGCAGAGAGGATCGGACATTGACCAGCCGTGGGGACCGTGAGTGAGAGTTGCTGGATAGGAGCCCAGGCAGCTGCCATGTGCTCCGGGGCCCTGCTGCAAAGTTGACCCATGCACATGGCCCTGTTTGATTTAGACTCCTTATAAGTCTCTTAAACCTATTTCAGTCATACTTAATAAGAGGCTTCACGACTTCTGTTTTCCAACACTGAGAAAAACAAAATTTAAAATATGGGTTGTTAGGTTGCCTAATTTAGTAGCTTTTATAACTGACAATACATTTTGGTAACACACAAATTCATACTGGGTAAGGCCAGCAAATCCTTTAACCCTTGGTGTGTTTAGCAGTGTTGTAATTGTGATCGGTACTTGGGGAAGCGAGATCCTACTGAATTCTCTGTAGAAATACATCCGTGATGTTAGTGCAGAGAGAAAACATATGGTCGTCTCCTCTTTCCAGAGAGGAGGCTGGTACATCTGAGTTCACCCCTTGATCCTCTGGTGCCGTTTTCCCACCTATGAAATAGGACAGAGAGGTACCAAGTCATGCTATTTACTGTCCCCATCTTAGTCCGGTCCTGCTCCATGACCTTCTCTCCTAGCCTTAACATTTGATTGTTCTCTTCAAATTACTTTGAAAACCAGGGTGGAAAGTTCCTTGAGTATGGATCATTCACGTTAACACTTCCATCCTGCTGACTACGTTGTTTAAATAAGTCTTCCAGGGATATCACAGGTATCTTACCACTGCTGCCTCCTGAATTCTCACTAAGACCAGGTGACAGCCCAGGTCTGGGGCACATCCCGTTGGCACATCAAACCCCCGCACACGCCGAGCTTGGGTTACACTCTGCTTCTCTGCTGCAAACCTTCTCTCACGTTGCTCTCCAAATACAGCTTTGTGGATTCTTCTATTTGCATTTTTTATCAGCTTCTGCCCAATAGAAACACTCTATCAATAGACACGATCCCTTTTTCAGTTTTATTTTATAGCAGAGTGTTTGGCATGTTGGTGCACAGCTTTGCTAGCTGGAACATACTGTCTCACCATGTCAGCATCTTCGTTTATCCCACACTGTTATAAGGAAAATGATGGTCCCTTGTCTTGTGCTAAGGTGTATTTTATATTTTTAGAATCAGAAAAACTTTTCTTATAGCATTTAAATATAATGTTTTGTGGTTGATACAAAAATCCGTTGAGCATATTTTGAATTGACATGTTCAGTACGCAGGGTCCTGGCTTTATAAAAAGTCCAGCCAAGAGGATGGAACTCCTCTGAGAACTGAACAGATCCTGTGTTATTTTGATGTTCTTCACTTTGTGTGGTGTTTGCTTCATCACCGTTCTACAGATTGACATTTATCCACATGTGAGCTCACATGTGTCTGTAAAGTGTGACACTGCGGCTGTGTCCGTCTGAGTGGTGTGTTGGGCCCTTTGTCATTCCCACTGCATGTTGTGGTTACTGTGAGCAGGATGTAGCTCTCGTGTGTCTGTAAAGTGTGACACTGCGGTTGTGTCCGTCTGAGTGGTGTGTTGGGCCCTTTGTCATTCCCACTGCATGTTGTGGTTACTGTGAGTAGGCTGTGGCTTGCATGTGTCAGGGAAGCCAGATGAGTGGCCTTCTCCCAGAATAGAGCACAGGGATCTCTCCTTTCTTTTCCGTGATTGCCAGTAGGGGAAGTAGCTTTTCCCACTGAGAGCCAGATTCTGCTACCTTTGTTTCCTATCTGTTAGCTTGAAGAGCTTAGGCCTGGATCAGCCTGGCCTCTGCTTCCCCCATGCAGATCCAGGAACGTGATCTCAAGGTTTCATCCATCCTTCTGCTCTTAGGCATAAGCTACCAGAGATTGAAATGTTCTCTCCCCTCCACGCGTGTTTGGCTGGTGGAGCCCTGATGGTCTCTACACAAGATAACGTCTGTGGAGTAGTTCAGCAGGCAGTAGACAGCCCCTTCCTAGTGTTTCCTGGCCCCACGTGTGTATTCTCACTGCCAGAGAGAACTCAACCGTCAACGTATTAGACTGGCTAAGGGGAGGCCCACATCACTCACTGAAGCTGATGCCTCTTACCCGCAGACTTCAGACACAGATCTCAGGTCTCACTAGGAGAGAGACACGGAGAAGTGCTATTTGCATTGGACAGTGCAGGAAGATGGCCAGTGAGGAAGATGCCATCCTCAGTTTGCTTAGAGCTTCAGTGGTAGAGATTTGTTCTATTAGTAATTCAAGATTTTCTTTTTTTGAGACAGAGCCTCAAGCTATCCCCCTGGGTAGAGTGCTGTGGCATCACAGGTCACAGCAACCTCCAACTCCTGGACTCAAGCGAGTCTCCTGCCTCAGCCTCCCAAGTACCTGGGACCACAGGCACCCGCCACAACGCCTGGCTATTTTTTGGTTGCAGCCGTCATTGTTGTTTTGGCGGGCCCGGGCTGGATTCGAACCCACCACCTTAGGTGTATGTGGCTGGTGCCTTAGCCACTTGAGCCACAGGCGCTGAGCCAGTAATTCAAGATTTTCAATGAGAGAATGTGCCTTAATTCACCATGATACTTTGATTTGAATACGTAGTTTGACTTGTTTATGTATTAATATCAAAGTTTCTTTGAAGTACAAATTCAATATCGACTTGGCATCCAGTAGCTCAGTGGTTAGAGTGCCAGCCACAGACATCAGGGTTAGTGGGTTTGGATCTGGCCTTGGCCTGTTAAACAAATAAACAAACAGACAAAAAATAACTGGGTGTTATGGTGGGTGCTTGTAGTCCCAGCTACTAGGGAGACTGAGGCAAGAGAATCACTTGAGCCCAAGAGTTTGAGGTTGCTGTGAGCTGTGATGCTACGGCACTCTACAGAGGGTGACAAAGTAAGACGCTCTCAAAAAAATAAAATACAGGGCCCATTCTGTAGGCCTGTGGGGAACATCTACTCTGCATCTACTCTCACAGCTACTCTGAAACACACGATTCTGTTAAGATGGTGTTTCCCGTCTAGTGACCTTGCCATATGGAAGTTAGGTTGTTTGAGGAGCAATGTACAAAACTGGAGTTGGCAGAGCTGCAGTTCAGTGTGTTCTCAAACTGAATTGTGGCCACACAGAACATAGCCAGCACGGAAAATCCAGCCGTCAGCAAACCCCACTCAGTAAACAGAGTGAGCACTCTGCTCTCAGACCAGGGAGGACATGAAGGAAAGAGCTCATGGGTATCCTTAGGAGATGTGGGAACCCTGTGTGTGTATGCAAGTGCCAGTGGTAAATGCCCATATAAAGACCCTCGGGACCTCAGGGATGAAGTGATGGACAGACAGTCAGTGTGCACTGTGGAGGGAGGGAGGCTCCGTCCGCAGTCTGCTTCTCAGAGGTTCCGTGGTAGAGACTCAGTGATAAAGAAGAGGAGGTGGCTGCCACTGGTGTGACTGGGAGAGTCTCTCTCAGCGCTTCCGGTGTGCTGTGGACCCCTCCACCCCACTGACAGCTGAGTGCTCTGAGCTCCCTGAGAGAGGGAGAAGTACTGTGTCACATGTGAGCTGGTGTCCCCGACCCTGGCACAGACAGGCACCAGGCTGGCACTGACACGTGCTGGATAAAGTGGCCGAGAGCCAGGTGGAGGTGCCTGCCTGACATCTCAGGCCTGCCCTCTGCATTCTGTGACTGGCGTTTGGCCAAATTCATAGGAGCCAAGCTCCTTTTCCCTGAACAAAAACAAGAGTCTCAGCCCTAAGAATTTTTTATCACACAGGCAGTGCCCAAGAGGTCCAAAGCTGAGACTGTGTAATATCTCCTATAGGAATGAATTGTAGGAAATGAACTAAAATAGCATTTATTAGTATTTATTTAAATGACTACAAACCAGATCTGAGGGTCCTCACGCTGAAAAACGAATGTGCATGTAGACTTTTCACTTTCTGTCTAGTATGAAAGCTCCCTTCCATCACAGTATTTCTCCAAGGGAAGGGCAGAGAGGGGAGACTGGAGATCTTCCCAGGTTAGTTAAATAGGTCAGTGAATAAAAGACGTCTTGACGCCTTGGATCACATGCACCCTCTCCAGTTTCCTGAGGATGCCAGGGATTTATCCAGGAATTTTTCTTTTCCTTAAATAGGTTCAAAAATACAGCACTTCATGAAGCAATTCTCCTTGGCCTGGCAGGAAGGGAGTGCATCGCCACTTTACTGGGGTATGTTCTGGCCATTGGTAGACACTGCTGAGGGCCACAACAATCTCTGTGCTGTCCTTGTGACCAGGGGCCATCATTTCACCCTGACTCCCAGGGCACTGGGAGGCTTTCAGAGCTTAATGAAAATCTTGCCCCCATTGAACAGCCTTGGTTGTAGGACTTTGATGCAATGGGATGGGAGTCAATGGCCAGCATTGGCCATTGAACATTTTCAAACTGTAGAGCCCCTTAAAAGGTCTCAGAGTAGAGGCACCCCTGAGAGCAGAAGTCCTGGTAGCCTCTTGGGGACAGTTTCGGGAGGTGGGATCTGGAGGTGCCCAGATTGGCCTCTGTGACAGGAGAGAGCAGGCCCACAGGTCGCGTGCTGCGTCCTCAGTGCACCTGTTTCCATGTTGCCTTCACAGATGCAATGCAAGCATCCAGAAGAAGAATGCCGGGGGCCAGACAGCATACGACCTGGCTCTGAGCACTGGCAGTGACCTCATCACCTCGCTTTTTGCAGCTAAGTTTGGCCAAGGGCTCGAGGACCAGCTCATGCAACCCAAGAGCCTCAGCCTGGATGACCATTATGCCTGAGGCCTCCACAGGGCTTCATGTAAAGAAGCCCCACAGCCCTGGCGATGCTTTGTTTGTTTCTTTCTGAAATTTGTATTTCAGGTTAGAAATTGAGGTTGAGAGGAACTTACAAGATTTTTGTTGTTTAAAAAAAATTTCCATTTGTCTTCTTCAGAGAAGGTTGTGTTCAGGTCTCTTGCCCACTTATACATGTGGTTGCTTATTCTTGTTGACTAATGTTCTGTGTAGATTCTAGTTACCAGTCCTGTGTCAGATTTACAGCATGCAAGTATCTTCTCCCATTCTAAAGGCTTCCAAGTCATGGAGTCAACCCAATAGCCCATCAATCCATGAATAGATTAATAAGCTGTGGCATATATATACCATGAAATACTATTTATCCATAAAAAGATGGAGACTTTACATCTCTTGTATTAAACTGGATGGAGTTGAAGAACATTCTTCTTAGTAAAGTATCACAAGCATGGAAAAGCAAGTATCTGATGTACTCAACACTAGTATGAAACCATAGATAAACAACTACATACCCACATGAAAGAAACACAATTAAATTCAAGTGGGGGGAGGGGAGGAGGGACAGGGAGGGGTGGGGGGAGGGGATTGGTAAGCTCTCACCCAATGTGCATATGTAAGGGTGTACAGCACACCTGCTGGGTGAAGGGCTCCACTGCAACTCCAACTTTAGGTAAGAAACACAAATGGTGTAATCTAATCATTGTAAAATTTTCCAATCATGTTCCTTCTAATTTTTATTTTGAATTAGGTGACAGTGTAAGCCATCACTACCACATGGGCAACTCCCGATGTGCTGTAGCTTGTGATGAACTTATGTGTGTTTTTTAATAGTTTGTTACTGTTTTTTTTTTTAATTTGGTTTTTAGTTTTTAATTTATCTTTCAATATTGCACATGGTTCAAAGCTAAGTGGTATGAAGTCTTTTGCAGGAAATGTTTCTGCCACCCAGCCTCACAGCCCCCACCTCCCTTCACAGAGGCACAGGGACGCCAGTGTCGGCTGTTTCTTTCCAGGGGTGGCAGAGGGTTAGGTAAGCACCCATGTGTGATATACATACGTGTACATACGAGTATCATGGAATGCAAATGTATATCTAATACACACATAGTCCTCCCCTCTATTAGCATAGACCGTAGTGAACCAGCCACACGCTGCTCAGCGTCTTGTTGCTTCTGCTCAGTGTATCTTGCAGGTGGCTCTAAATGGTTATGTAAAGACTAAGCTTATTCAAAAACTTTCTTCTGTGTAGAACTCATCGGTGTTCCTCTTATTGTGGTTTGTTCTTTGGTTACAAGTCAGCTTTCAATAAAGCATTTTCCGGAATGTGTAATTTTGACTGACTGACTCCTTTCTTTGAGTCATTATTTCAGTCTTTGGATGGGAATGCTGCAGTTGTGGAGTCCTTGAATTTTTCCTGTTAAAGTATGTAAATATTACTAAAATATTTATTCATATAGAATAATCCAGCACAATAAATAACAGACCTTGTCAAGGTGGTTACTATCATTACTATCTGTACTTTAAACCCTCATGTTAGGTAGCTGTCTGGGAGGTCAGAGGTGCAGGACTGTTGGAACTCAGGCCCCTGGTGGAGCTGGGAGGCACTGACACTGGCTCACCTACCCCACCCTGTCAGCCCCTCAGCCTGCTGTGTGAGTGGCCAGTGTACAGAGAGACTGGGGAGTGTGATCATCTGGGCTGGTGTCTGTGCTGGCTTTCCCTGTGTCACCTTAGCTGAGACTACCTTGCCCAGAATTCTCTTCCCCTGGGGCTTCTGCAGGGTTGGCCCCAAGAGAAATTGTATGAGATTTAGAAGGTTGAAGAGAAGCAAAAGCAGGCATGCTTGGACAGTGGGTATACAGCACCAGAAGCCGCTGCTGCTTCCAGGTCTGGAATCTATGGTGAGGGGCGGGAGGGTATGGAGCTCAAGGCTTCCTCAGACCTTATGGAGGAGGGAGAGCCCGTGGGTTCCAGAAACAGTCGCCTCCGGGCTCTTTGGGGGAACTTCTGTGCGCTGAGTGCAGGAGCCCTGCTGTCAGCATTGCTTGAGTTTTCCATACTCTTCTTAGAGGGTCCTGCCCTCTATACCATGAGGCACTGGCCAGACTTGGGGATCTCTAGAGCACATATCTGATGTCTCAGCTGGGGTTCATTCTTTTCTCTAAGGTCCATGGCTTGCACTCATCACCCTTGAAATTCACACCTCATTTAAAACAGGACTAAAAAGTAAAAAAAGATATGAAATCTTGGGTGATGCCTGTGGCTCAGAGAAGTAGGGCGCCGGCCCCATATGCCGGAGATGGCAGGATCAAACCCAGTCCTGGCCAAAAACTGCCAAAAAAAAAAAATAACCAGGTTTTGTGGTGGGCGCCTGTTGTCCCAGCTACTTGGGAGGCTGAGGCAAGAGGATCACTTGAACCCAAGAGTTTGAGATTGCTGTGAGCTATGATGTCACAGCACCCTACCAAGGGTGACAAAGTGAGACCCTGTCTCAAAAAAAAAGATGTGAAATCTTTTAAGATTTGAAAACATACTTTCTGATGAAATCCTACAGGCTCACATAAAACAGTTGTCAAAGTCAAACAAAAATGTAGTGATGAGGCCAGGTTCACACCTATAATCCCAGTACCTGGGAGGCCCACTTGGGTAGATTGCTTAAGCTCAAGAGTAAAACCCGATCTCTACAAAAAATAGAAGAATTATCCGGGTGTTGTGGTGGGCACCTGTAGTACCAGCTAATGGGGAGGCTGGGACAGGAAGATTGCTTGATCCTAGGAGTTTGAGATAGCTGTGAGCTATAATGACACCACTGTAGTCTAGCTAGGATTACAGAGTGAGACTATCTCGGAAAAAAAAAAAAAAACAGTAGAGATGAATCTCTAAATTTAACATTTTATTTTGGAAGAAAGAACTGAAATTTGGGGCACACACAGACTAGGTGGTCTTTGATATGTAATGTGTCCTATATAAAGAACAAAATGAAGGTTGGAAGTTTTATGTAAAAATGAAATGCTATATATTGCTCTTTATTTTTTTTTTTTAGAGACAGAGACTCACTTTATCACCCTTGGTAGAGTGCCATGGTGTCAACAGCTCACAGCAACCTCCAGCTCTTGAGTTTAGGCAATTCTCTTGCCCCAGCCTCCCAAGTAGCTGGAACATAATTGCTTTTTAAGAAGTTCACTGGCAGGAGGGGGGTTCTGGGCTGCTGGCAAGCTCCAGCAAGCCTTGGCCGTAGACAAAATTAGTCCTAGAGTTGCAGCAAGTCTTTTCAGCAATTATAGTTAAAATTGGTCTCAGGTTACAACAGGCAGTGTCAGCAGCTGGAATTGCAGAAAATTCCGTTTCTAGAGCACTGAAATGTGAAGGAGTTTTGGTGTTAGGAATTAAGAGGCTTGACGTGGTCTGTGCGAGGGGAATGAGGAGCTCTCAGGGAGGAGTTCTCTCAAGCAAACCTTGGATCTGTATTTATTATCATAAAGCAGGAAAAAGTAGTTAAAAGTTACTTATCAGACATCAGCACTAAAAAGGGGGAATATGGAAAGTGTCAGACAGAATGTCTCCAACTTGTTTTTGCAAAACTGCAAACCTTAAGCAAGACCTCTGCCTCCAGCCTCAAGAGACCTTTGGAATCTAGAGAATCTTTGCCATAACCTCTAGACCTGGTATTGCCACACCTCACATACACATTTGCTCTTGGAGGTCAGTTTTCTGACCTGCACGTACACAACTCACATGCCATTCTCGTGACTCTTCAGGTCTCTCAAGAAGAAAGTGAACCTGTAATAAAGGTCAGGGAACAATTTTCCCTTTAGTTATGTGCAGGGTGCTTTCTACCCCCTCTCAAGCCTGTTTTAGTTGGGTGTGACAACAATGACCAGTGTAGGGGACGTCAAGAGCCAGATGACATCTGAGCAAGATGATCTGCAGCTGAGGGGTGGCTCTCGGGCCATA